ATCCACGCTGGGATACATGGGGGAGGAGGGGAGGCGGGGAAGGGAGAAAAAAAGCAAGGGTATAGCTGGGGTTGGATGGTGCTGAGGGGAGGGGGCCCTGGAAGAGCGGCGTGCGTGCGTGCGTGCGTGCGAGGGCCCTCGTGCTGGCGTGCAATTTGTTAAGATCGACTCGGCTCGGTAAATGTCTTGCAGATGCCGGGCTTCCACAGAAATACTCGCGTGACTTATGGCGGGGGGGCAGCGGGAGAGCGAGCGGCGGGAGAGCGAGCCACGGGGAGCGCGGCCCACTTTCTTCATCCTCTTCTTCTTCGCCCCCCCGCTCGCTCCAGACAGGCGTCCCGCGAACGGACGCCGGCGGAAGCCGTGCTGAAAAAAAACCCGACCCTGAACTAAACTTTTGCAAATATTGGCACAAAGATGGAGATAACGCTGGAACGTCAAAGTCCCAGGGCAAATATGCGTAGACGTGTAGAACCACGAAGGGAACGAATGGGCGCTCGCCGACTTGTTCGGTCTAGACAAACAAATGACTTCTGACAGCGAGTGGCGGCGGAATGTATACGCCAACAGGCCGCCTGGTTACCGCGCAGAGCTGACTTCTTGCCTTCTTTTCACTACTCACTTTCTCTTCTGCTTTTCTTTTCCACTCTGTCAGTTACTTTCGCCCCACGGAGAGACGGTTGGCGTTTAAGGGTGTGGGGAGCGATTGAGCGAGAGCGCGACGGAGAAAAAGGCGAAAAACAAGAAAGAGAAACCTTATGATGAATGGCGGAGAGATTGGCGAGGCAACACTTTACATTCTTCTGTTATTTCACCTCCCCGCTCGCTTCGTACTGTGGCTCCACTAGCTTTTGTCTGTTCTAGTGCCCGAGCGCCGCGTACAGTGGGGAAAGCTCTGCGCCTGCAAGAACATTAGGCTAATTTATACAGCGGTAATTAGGCCATTAGACCTGAAACAATCTGGGACCCCGTAATTAAAGCAAAGTGCTCCAAAAGTCAACAGCAACTCCCATTGAGCTTCGCTAAACAGTCTCCGAAAGTGTTGTTTACATGTGCAAACAGCTTGAGGTCTCAGCGTAAGCAAACATGATGGGGGGACCGGGACTGAAGGGATTGATCAGGGGGGGGAATTCGGCTTCACAAGAAAGCCGGCGTCCAAACTACTTCCACTGATACTCACGCACGGGGGGCTTCTCCTTCTCCTCATGCGGTTTGTAGTTTTACCAAAGTACAGGCACATGATAAACGCTCACAGCCTGTTAGTTCACTTGTCACAGTGTTTACTGGAAGATGCCCTCCAGCTAAGGAGTTATTTAGTGAGTCGTTGTGAATAAAGTCGTGTGATTCATTGGCTCTTATTTCATGGCGACGGTACGGATGGATTGTTTTTCTTCAGTGGACGTCTCATTGTTGTTTTCTCCGTGTGCTGTTGTAAAGTCATTGGATTTAATAGACGGAGGCCATTTTCACGCAAACAGACAAGGTCCGCGGCGTCTCTCGCACGCTCTCTGCAAAGTGTTGGCGAGCTATGGCGTAACTGCGTGGCGCCGGGTGCAGACGAGCGAGCCTGAGCGGTGAGATCACGAGCGGGGAGAGAGAGAGAGGTGGCATAATGAAAACCCGGCACAGGCTTCATATGTTCCACATTAGCCATCCGCAAACCTCTGGAGCGGACCCCCCCCCCGGGCAGCCGTTCTCTCACTGCGCCTTTAGTCGCTCGCGACAATCTGTCACTGGCTCTTTGTGCTCTCGCAGCGGAGCGTCGGCCCGGGGAAGTTCGCTCGGCCCTCGGCGGTGACACTCTGCTGAACCATCGCCAGAGGTTCTCGCAGGGCGAGACGATGAACTCACAATGCCGAGTTGACGACAAAAGAGAGAAACAAGTCCAGAAAGTGGTTTGCGTGCTATCGGAACACCAAATCAAGGATTGTGAGTGACGACCGCGACGCAGTGAACATCCTTTGTTGTAAAACTGCCGTCATGAAAGGAGATTGAGCAATAGGGATATTGAAAATGACGCGCTTTAGGCTTTTCCTCCGCATGTCCCCCCCCCCTCCCCCCCTCTTTTGAAATGATTCAAGTGTCCAATAAAGGAAGAGGCAATTACCATCCTCTCTTTAATGAAGGGGAAGCCGGCTTTTTGGTCTCCAGCACGGGGTGTTTGTGTTGAATTAGAATTAATGAGCCTGGTCAAAGTTTGCCTCTAATTGCCCTTTCATTAAGACCCGTTTGTATTCATCTCTTAATGACTTCCATCTCTGCTAAAAGTATTTTTCAAAAAAAGGGCAAAAAATGACACCAAAACGGAATCCTGCTGATTTCATTAAAATGTCTGAGAGCTGCACAAGATGTTCTACATTTCCCAAATGCTTTCAATCCTCGATGCGCAGCGTCCGTGACCTTCGCCGCTTGACTGGCCCCGAGATGACTCCATCGACCCCTTCTCGCCTCTTCTAGCGGTGCGAAAGCGTCGCGCCGACTCTCCTCCTCGGGGAGGCGAGAGGCGGTGTGGTGTGCGGCCGCGGCGGGAAGGTAAAAGCGGCAGCTACCTGCCCTCCGGCCGCATCGCGTACGCGAGAGTCGAGAAAACCCTGAATAAGAGCGGGCGGGTGTAAACAGTAAGCAGTCCCTACAGGAAATCCTGGAGATGGATTGCAGGATGGAGCCCCCCCCCCTTACTCATTCTCCTTGGCCTTCTGTTCTCTGCGACTGTATACATTCCCTCCAGTGACACGGAGCTGTTTGCCTCGCTAATGGAGTGAAAGAGGTGGCAGGCTCTATTTAGATAGCGCCGTGGTAAAGTAAACTCCAGAGTTTGATTTAAATAAACCTCGGCGTGACGGTTTGCCATGCGGCCGCGGCGAGGGAAGGAGTGATGAAGGGCTGAGTGAGGAGCTCCAGAGACATAAACAGAGGGCCGATCGGGGTAATTCAACGAGGAGGCGGATGCGGGACGGTAGGTGTGTGTTGCGGGGGTGGCGTCTTTTAAAATGATTTCACGCGTCGGTAATCTCCACAGCCATCCCTCGTTTCCTAACGGGACAGATGTTAGTTTAAAGTCCACTGAGATTAGAGGCCGGGAGGCTCTCAAGAGGACCTGAAGGTTGTTTTGTTTCTGACAGCCGAGGGCCGACAGCACAGGAGAGTCGTGTGGAGTAAACAAAGCAGATTCCACCGCCGGCCCCTCTCTGGATCCCAGACCCCCCCCCCCCGACCCCGCTCAGCCGAGCCAAACCTGAGTCATCGGGAGGAAACCATCAAACAGACGGGAGACTCAGTGGTCAGATATTTGCCAGAACCGCTGTGAGGAGGCTTTTTACCACGAACATGCATCGGTGCAACGAGGAAAGCAAGATGAAAACACAGTCAAGCACTTTGAGCAAACCCTAATCTGTAAATAATAAATGAATAAAGGGAATTTGGAAACTTTGTGCATTATTGCACTTGACTCCTCACAAGTTACTATCTCTTCCTTCTTCCCCCTGCAAGAAGAACCACATTCAGCAGATTGTGCTTAGAATAATGCTGCTTTCTGGCTCATCGACAGGCAAACACTGGCTCTTTGCCACAGGTGGCTGTGGGGGGGGGGGGGGGGGGGGTGCAGTCTTTACGCACGCTGTATGGAGCCAGTGTTTTAAACTTAAAGGGACATTCCACCACCAACATGTCAAAGTCTATTTTCTTATCACGGGGAGCCCTCTACAGCTGTTTAATGTTGTCTTTGGCTCCACAGCGAGCTTTCCAGAGTCCCGGGCGTTTGCTTTGGCTACATTCGCCGGTTTATCTTGCTTCAATAGAACAACCCAAAGCGTTAATATAGCAGCGAGCAACTATCGGCCCCTTCAGGTACACACTGTTAGCCCTGTCAGCACGTTCGCTGTAGTTCGTACCTCCAGAGCGTGTTGGCACCGGTTCAGGCGTCGTCACGTTGAGAGCACTCGACAACGCTCATAATCTCGCGTTATGCACATTTATGACCCGATAACGTCTCGATGGCAGCTGTGTTCGCTCAAGCTGGCAGCACTCGGAGTGACTAAGCGGTGAGGTAGGCCCCCCTGAGAGGCTCCGGGGGGGGGGGGGGGGATCAAAACCTGCCGCGTTGCCCCCCCGGCGACGCAGCTGCGTTCGGCGTTCGGCGTTCGGGCGCCCCGCTGCTCGGCCCGGGCCGCCCTCTTGGCACACACACACGGACACATGTTTGCAAGCGAAAGAACACAAAGCTCAGACACTTGGTGCGTGACGGTGATGCACGCGCCGACAGATTGAGTTCATAAAGTATGTGGATGAAAAGGTGAGTCGTCGGGGTCCGGACCCCCGCGTTTTGCCGTCTTTCTGTACAAGTTTTAACCCGTTTCAGTTTCTCAACTTCAACCCTCGGCAACTTCCAACAATGGGCCGTTGCGCCACGAAATTCCAGCTTTAGTTTTGTGAGATGGTCGCGTGTCGTGCAGCTGAGGTTAGAAGATGAGTGCGTTGAGATGTGGATTCAGTCCTGTGGCAATTTCAGGGGTAAAAATAGAGAACGACTTGGAAGCTCATATTATGCAAATGTTTCAATGTTTTATCTGGAGGGAGAACAGAAAAGAAGCCTTTCGATTTTCTCTGGCAGTTGTGACTAAACACTGAAACGGAAAAGGATGTTTTGTTCTGTTTTTTTTGTACGTTTCATTGGGCGTACTTAGACGTTATCCTTTGTGCAAAACCATATTATGCTTGGCACGGTGAGAAACATGCCATTTGGCTGCTTTTCTTCCGGGTATTTATCGCTGTTTATTGTGAGTTCTAAGACTTCCCCTGCAAACGTTTTGGAGCGGTGCAGCCTTTAATGAGCTCTCATTTGGGTGGGTCCGCCGAGGAGATACCCATCATCCTCTGCCTTTCATTACAGCCGAGGAGGGAAGACAGTCACGTGGCGACACGTTGGGGAGGAACCAGGGGGGTCTCGCCAAGTGTAAAGAAATGTCTCACATGTTCATTTCTCTTTCTGTCCTTCTGCGCAGCCACGCCGCAGTTCTTCCCCGCCTTCCATCCTCCTGTGCCAATCGACGACCGGCACACCCAGGGACGTTACATCTACGAGCCCTCCCCCGTGCCCCCTCTCCACGTGTAAGTCTCTCAAACTGCCAACACACACACACACACACACGACCAAAACACAGCCGTTTGATTCGGCCGCATCACAAGGCATCACTCGCGAGGCTCCCCGCTCCCCTGACGGCGATACGAATCGAGCCGCGGGAACTTCCTTCCGCCCGTGGGGGCGCGGAGCATCCTCTGCCTCTGCCTTCCAGGATCAAAGGCCGCGGCCCCCTGTACGCGCGCAACCTGATCCGCGTGTCAGAGACACGCAAATGAACATGTGTCAGAGACGCGGGAAATGAGAGCAGGGGGGGGAGGGAGGGGGAGGGAGGGGGAGGCTAGGGGAGCGTGCGGTGCTCTCATAAGAGCAGATATCAAGCCCCGTCAGGGGGGGAGGAAGCCTCAGATGACATCCACCCCGTCGCCGACAGACTCACGCCGATCACGCGCATGCGCCTGGGGCCGTGCAACAAAGCGGGGGCGTCCCGCCCCAGACGGGGGAGCGGTAAGTATTCGTAGGCCCCGGGGAAGTCCCGTGACAGCCGCCCGAGTTCTTGACTGTCCAGGTCAGCGGAGGACTTCAAAGCGCTCCGCCGGCTCGCTCGCTCGCTCGCTCACACTCAAGTTGCTCTTTTTTCTCCTTTCTTTGCCGCCTCGCGCTCCCTCCTTCGTTTGCGTCCGACCCCGCAGACGCCGCGTCGTCCTCTAGCGCAGACGCGGAGGAAGTGATCGCGGCGCGACGGGGACAAATTGGATGGGGCAGCTACTTGGGCCGCATTATGTTTGATATTCTTCATCATTATCAACTCCCCCCCCCCCCCCTCCCTCCCCCCTAAGGAGGCAAATCCCTCCCCCCCCGAAGACCCACCAACCGTAACGATTTTTTTATGCCTCTCTACCTCCCCACCTCTGGCCCTCCCTACCTCTCAAACCCTCGTCTCCCGCTCAGGGGGGGGGGGGGGGGGGGGGGCGAGGTAATAAAAAATAAATAAAAAAAAGGGGGAAGTGATTGATGCTCCGTGTCACTGCAAACAAAATGGCAAATATAATTTAGCATTTAGCTTATGCAGAGATAATGGGGCGAACAGGCGCCGGCAACGCGGGCACGAACAAACAGCCCGGCTTGTTATCCGTCAGGAGCGCTTTGGTACGATGTGGAGCACAGGTGAGGGGGAGGGATGAGGAGGGACAACGGGGGGCCCGGGGGAATTTTTTTTAGGGGGGGGGGGGGGGGGGGAAGATGCGCGGCGGTGTCTTCAGTCACTCCGTCCGGACGGGCGTTATCTGCGGCTTGCTGTCAGTGGAAACACGGCCGTAACGCCGCCGCGCTACTTATGGCCCATTTACCCGAGCCATTAAGCATAGAGATGTTTAATGGGACTCGCCTTGCTGACGGAAACTATTTGTCATTATTATAAGACGGCCGTGGCCTCGTGCGAATCTCGCCGTCACGCACGTTTTCCCCCCAACTTACGTGGGTTTCATGCAGAAATCCTCTCAGCTACTTTTGAGTCCCAGCGAAGCAACAATATTGCCTACTTGATTAAAAAAGCTGCACTGAATTCCTCAGCGGGACGAGGCACTCAATCAGTTGCGGTATTACAGCTGGGTCCAACCACCTGATGGCAAATTACAGTTAATTACACTTCCTGTTGTAGCGAACTTGAGGTCCGTAGAACTACAAGCAGGAAGTAAACGGAGGATTCCAAACATTTGGCTCCGTAATGTTGCTTGTAATCAAGCCGAGCCGACGTACAGCTGTCGCCTCGGGGGAAAGGGACAGGAGGCGGCTTATGGAGAAATATTGAATTGTTTTAAGACAAGTTCTCCTCGGTGAGCAGAATGAAGCGTTATTAGCCCTCTCAAAGATATGCCTAAGTACACAGGGACTATTATTGCAGTACTTCCCCATGCAGCCTCTCATTACGGCCTGTAATTACAGTTGGGTTGGCCCTGCGGCTGTTCCATCAATCCAGCCTGCTCCCCCCCCACACCCCGCCGCACGCTCGCAAGCCAGTCACCACTGGCCGTCCTCGTCCGGAGAAACCCGGCAGCTTGTTTCCTCTCCGCCGCAACGGCACATCCACCATCCGAACGTGGCGAATGAACACGATCATATCCTATTACCGCGAAGGGCCTAATTGAAACATGTTTATTTATGGCGCCCGTTCTCAGGCGCGGAGCGAGCGTTAGCAGCGCTGCTAACGGGCTCCAGCCATACGAGGCGCTAGAATTAAATTAAAAGCTCATAAAATGAAATATGCTCCGTATTAGCTGCTTGACACTTAATTTGCCTTCAAATGAGCAGAGGAAATCACAAATTAACTGTCCTTTGTTTTTTTGTTCCCCCCCCCTCTTTACCTCACCTCCCCTATTAGGCTCTGCGGAGCGCAATTACAGGCGGAGGCCAATCGTTTAGTTTATGAATTCTTGTGGGGAAGGTACCAATGTGCCATTCAATATTAAAGCCTCGGGGTCACTGGGGGGAGGCGGGGGTTCTCTTCCTGTGGATGCTTGGTATTCACGTGGAAGAGACCTTCAACGACTCGACCGCAGGAAAGGGGGGGAACCGACGAGCGGGCTTAAGGCCCCCGGACTGATCCGGGACCAGCAGAGGTGTCGCCTGCCTCTGGTGTGCAAACAGCTGACCTCCGGGTCTCAAACAACGAGGAGGAAGACGCGTCCTGCTTAAATAAACACATTGATTGGTGAAGAGCAGGCGCTCCACGGGCGCTCTGGTCCCCTCTGTCGCCTCCATTGTGCGGGACTGGCTTAATGGGAGGGTTTTTTTTGGGGGGGGGGGGGGTGGGGGGTTGGAGGCCGGAGGCCGAGAGGAGCCACCGCTCCTTTCATTCGCGGCTTTATTGCCTGACCGCGGTACACAGCACAACAAAACAGGCCTCTCATGCGGCTCAGCGCCGGCTCCCCGTCACCCGGAGACCGCTCGGGACAAACAGAGGTATTCGTCACAAGTCAATTATCGACATCGCAGTTTAGCCGGGAGTCCCGGGCCCTCGTGCTGTGAATGGGGCCACTAAAACAACAAGACATTCTAACGGGATAAGCAATTGACTCCCAACCTTTTTTAGCGCCGCTATCGTATGTGGATTTAGGAAAGAATTAGTAAAGAAAAGAGAGCAAATAAAAAGCCTTGAGTTTTGACTTTTCGATTTGACTGTGGATTTGTGATTAAGTGCTCAACCAGACAATGTGACAATATCGAAAGGTTCTGAAAAGAAAAACATTTGATGCATCTGAACTTGTGTGCAAATGTTTCTCTTCCAACCGCAAGATTTATATTTAAATCATCAGTAAAATAAAAACCTAGATTTATGGTCCAGTCTTTTATTTGCCAAAGGACTAAAGAGCTCACACACACACACACACGCACACACACTGGGTTTTCCTTCTGTTCAGAAGTTGTACACACAACTGAATGAAGGATTTCATGTTTTTAAGAAAGCGATTGTGAAAGTTGAAAGACCCCCCCCCCACCCCCCCTCCAAAAAAAATTTTATTTGAAGATTTTGAAGATTTTTCCTAAATAAAACTCCTCAGTGTGACTCATGTATAAAGTCATGTGTGACTGTATGTTCTGTCATCGGGGAGGGGGGGGGTGAGGTTGGGTGTGTGTGGTTATTTCATTCATGTGTTTATTCAGCTGCGGGCCGACTGGAAGGTATTCTGGAGGCACCGGGGGGGGGGGGGGGGGCAGGGGGGTCGCTTGAGCGGCTGTGTGAGCTGTTGCATCACTCAGTGCAAAGACGGTACCAGAAAGCGTGTGAATCACCTCGTCTACCGACCAGCTACCGTCCTCCGTGGGCACCCGGCGCTCTCGCCAATTTCACACCGTTTCCGTGCACAAGCTCTTCCCCGCCGCCGCCGCCGCCGCGCTCAGCCTTTTTTTCATCCCTTTTCTCTTTTTTTCTCCTTTTTTTTTTTCTTTTTAAGATGTGCGGCGTGTTGTTTTGTTATTTACATAAACTGTAATCTGGGCATATAGAGGAGCGGCGTGTTGCTTAGCATAAAGACCAGGGTCTTATCTCAACACCTCCTTCCAGATGGGACGAGGCCGAGCATTGCAACGCGCACACACACACACACACACACACACACACACACGCGTGCACAATGCAAAACAATGGAAAGACAAAAGGGTCTACTGTGGCTTTCACAGAAGCAGGAGGAGACGATGTTCTGTAAGTGTCTATAAGCTGACTTTGCAGTGTTATGGCCTTCTGTAAACTTGCAGGCTGACTTAAACACAACTTTCTCATATTTTCTCGTCAGACGGTGGAGTTTTGTAACCCTGTAATATTTTCTGCAAGCCACATTTTTTGTCATCACAAAAAAAAAAAAATACAGAAGAGAAATCACAATCAAAAGTATTCACATTTGGACATAAATGAAAAACAGACTAAAACAGAATAAGACATAAACAACCGCTGATTGTTTTATTATCACGTCGGGTCATTTTTGTGTCCAGATGTGTCACTGAAGAGCGCAGAGGCGAAGGCCACTCTTCCATCCTCCTGTCCAAAACCCATTCTGTGTGACTCCATAGGTCACCCGTCTCCGGCGCAGTCACCGGTTTCTCTCCCTCCCCCCCTCTCCCCCTCTGTAATACTTTCTCTATGGAGTAAGTCGGGGGGACAGGCGGTCACGCAGTAGCTGGCTTCATGATTAATGGTGTTTATTCTTGACAGAAGGCTCCTTTATTTATCTGCATTGCAGTTTCACTGATACTATCAGTCACCTGAATGAAAAATATTCAGTCATACCAATTTTGCAGTATAATTGAGTAGAGTCACTTCCTTTCAGACTTCCCCCCCCCCCCCCCCCGCTCTCCTCTCCCACTCTATCTGGCAGCCTTATCATCGCCACAGTAATTTTCGCGCTGCGTTGCTGATATGGAGAGGCTGGCTTTAGCCGCATTTGACATAAAGCCTCTTCAATTTTCACCGGAGGGAAAAAAAAGTGTCGGTGGGGGGGGGGGGGGGGGGGGTGTGTGCCCCACTCACTCAAAA